GGCCACCGCGCCATCGGAACTCGGCCAGTTCGCTCCTGCGACAGGCCCGCCGGGGCCGCGACCGCTTGCCCAGCGGGCCGCTCGACCGCAGTGCCATTCGAACCCCCCCATCCGCTGAGCATGCAGCCGCTGGCCAAGAGCCCCCTGGCTCAAGGGCAGGGCGGCGCCAGGGGGGGGGGGGCGAAGGCCCACATGTTGCTGGGCCGCAGTCGACGAAGGCCGCGCGACGAGCGCGCCGCGCGGGCGCTCGGCCACTCGGCCTCTGGGCCAGGAAGACACTGCGCGATTCGACCAGCGCGCCGCGTTACCTGCGGGAGGGCGGGGGGCCAGTCAGACGCGCAACTGCGCGCCCTGGCAACCGGGGGCCGGCGCGCGGCGCCCGCGGCGCTAGGCCGACCGGATCGGCAACTGGCATTGGGAAACTGTCATTGCGACAACTCAGCAGTGACAGCGCTGCGCAGGTGGGCGAAAAGGCCACGGGCCATTTGACATCGTGGCCGCGCGGCCGCCGAGGCGCGGAGACGCGGGTCACTGGCCGCGCGGGCCGCGCGGACATGAGCGGAGGCGCGGGCCGGTCCGAGGAGAGGGGGCTCGCGGGTTTGCGGCGACCAACCGCGCCGAGCGATTCACCGTCGCCCCTGGAGATGCACCGGGTGGTTGCGGCTATCCAGACAATCTCGCGCGGCGCGGCGGGCGACCGGAAACCTCGAGGCGCCTTGGCGTGGATTCGGGAAGGGCGGAGGGGCGGGTGCCCTTTCTGAAATTTCTGCGACGGCCGCAGGCCGTGCCGCGACCGAGGGGGGGGCGGGGGGCGCGCTGTGCCAAATTCGGGCGAGTCTCGCGGTCCTCGATGGGCGACAGGCGCAATGTCGATGGCTGGGAATGGCGCGAGAGCGCGGACAGTGTCGAGGCGTTCAAGCCTCGCCGCGGGGTCGAGCGCCCCGCGTGGGACGGCCGATGTCAGGGGCGGACCCCTGCCACCGCGAGTCGCTTCGCCAAAAATTGCGCCGCGCGCCGCGCGCGACGCGTCGGGCGCGCAAAACTGCGCGCGCAACCCGTCCGCGCGATCTTTGCTGCTGTTTCCG